TTTTTGGATCTGTAGGTATGCGATTGAAACAAAGTCAAGCTGTTTTTCATATATTTTTTTTTTCTGCTGATTACGAATCCATCTGCGCTAAATTGTGAAAAAAACGAGGTCAAAGTGTCAAAAAATCGCGATTTTTTTTTAAATATTTTAAAAGCTCTGGCAAAGAAAGAAAAGGCGATAGAACCTTTCTGGCTTTAATTAAAGCTAGAACTTTCGACTATTATCTCTGAAAAGAGATCTTAAATATTTGAGATCCCCTTGCGACCGGGCCTGGTGTACTTGTATGTCTCCAGAACAGCTCGAGCAGAAATCGCTAGGTGGAGTTCTGAATTTTTAACCAACCAAGTGACCTATTTTTCAAGTTGCCGCTAGTATTACTAAGAAGAGTCATGCATATGTACATTAGGGTGGCTCTTATTTCGAAAAGAGCTCGTATTCTAGGTCTCACCCCCATAGAAATGTGTGAATAGCCTAAAAACTAAGCTATACAAAGTTTTATGTAAATCAAAAAAGATTTAGAGGTGGCTCAAAGCGCTCAAAGTTTCCCATCTATTTTATATGGCGAAAAAAAAACTAATTTTCATAGAAATTGTATAGAATTCTTGAAAAGCAATATTTTTCAATCGGTAAGCTCTTTTTGTCTTCCGAAAACTACATCGCTGTGGTGTAGCGGTAAGCAGTGTCTCCACTCCGCAGCGCCTGGGTTCATGTCTGGTCAAAGCAACATCGCGCAAAAAATTTAGAAGAAAGGATATTTCTTAACAGCGGTCGCCCCTCGGTTGGTAATGGCGAACCCCCGAGTGCCTTTCTGCCATGAAAAACAGCTTCCCATAAAAATCAAATTGCCGTTCGGAGTCGGCGTAAAACTGTACGTCCCTCTTCTTTGTGTGACAACAGCAAGACGCACGCCACAAATTGGAGGAGAAGCTCGGCCAAACACTAACATATGTGTTAGCGCCAATCTATTATTAGAGATTATTAAGTACTTATAGAGTAAAATACATATGTATATGTAAATATTTGATAAGCAGCCTCTAAATTTATTCTCAGAAACTTAAAGTTCGAAGCCCGTACCTCTTTCGGCAAGAGGAAAAATTTTTTAAGGTGCCCAAACCCTATCTCGGAAAATTTTTATTTTTTTGTACCACTCTAATATACTCACATACGCCATAGGTAAATTTCTTACATAAGTATAGGTCATATGAAAGGCCCTGCGAATTTTTTAGTAAATTTTTGAAATTTTGTTTACTGAAATTCAATTTGAGTCTAGGAAGTACATATTTGCCATTATTATCTGTGACATTCTGTAATTTTTCGGTTAGCTCTATATTTCCATCGGTGCAGAATCTGTGGTTTATCGGCGAAAAAGTTGGCCAGGTAATTTTCAGTGGCTCATAGGTCCGTCAGTTTTTTACCATCAAGAGAGGTTTTCTGAGACCAAAACCATTGTGAATCAGACGGTTCGAGCTATACAGTGGACACATTAAAACTTCCCAATCAATTTCCGACCATTTAGCCTGGTATTGTCATGATGGCCAGCCAATTCTCCTTCGCCCCGTCTTGATTTCCTCATTTGGTACATAGTAGCGAACCGAATTGATCACTTCGCCACGTTGTAGCAGTTCATAATGAGCAATTTCCTTTCAGTAACTGCCACCAAACACTCAACACAACCTTGTTTGTCGTCAATCAAGGCAATGAAGCCATTTGTGGTAGATCATTGCACAGTGGTTTAAAATTGGCATTTATTGTTCACAATGCACTGGAGCCTTAATTTTTCACTCTCTTTGATTATTATTATTGTTTAATAAAAGCTAATAAAATTTGCAAGAGGCGCGATTTTTGAAATTTGTTTGTTTGTACTAAATTTTTTAGCGCAAAGTGCAGAAAAAGTCGCGATTTTGAAGAAAATCTATTCTCCTGTTCCAGTTAATAAATAAATGTTACATACTAAAACCTAGTTGAAAACCACAAAAAATCTATGCCAGGAAGGAATAACAGTCAAACTCAAAAACAAAAAAAAAAATTGTAAAAAAGCCAAGGTTTTTTTGCTGTTTTTTTATTTTATTTTTTTAGAGACTTTTACGTTGGTGAAATGGAGCTTTTGCCTGAGAAGATCCCTAGAAAAATTTTCCGAAGAAATTTTTTTTTTTACTCTAACGAACTTCCAAATTTGCTTCTTTCCGGGGTTTCTTCAAGTAAGGGTCAAAACGACCTTTTCAGGTGGGAGTTAATTGGTTAACATGTTCTACGAAAATATTTGCCACGAATTTTACAATATTTATTTGGTTGAGCGGTAGTCCTAATTGGACTCACTAAGAGTCAAGGTCTTTTGTCATACTGCATGAGGTTTTCATCTATCCCTGTTCTTCTATGAACCATTTGGTGCTTAGGAAAAAGTGCATCTACATATTTTGATAGAGCCGGACAATGGCAGATAAGATGTGAGATGGTTTCTTCTTCGTTTTCATCCATACAGCTTCTGCAGTAGTCGTTTCAGGGCGCGCCCAGTCTACCTGCGTGTAGTTTACATATTTTAAGAGGGATGCCGAGAGTATCCCTTATATCTGTATCAGGCAGTGTCGTTCCATGACGCACAAGTTCGTCAGCCTTGCAATTTTCTGTGAATGTCGCAATGGTCAGGTACCCCGAAAAGAGAGCAACTGCTTTTGAAGTCAGCGAACTCTTTCGCAGAGATTTAATAGCCGCCTGGCTTTCGGTGAAAATGTAGATATCATGACTAGGAATCGTATCCCACTGTACCAGTCATGCGGCCTTTGAAATAGGCAACAAAGCGTTAGTGATAGTTATTTGGTCCGTGTGCGGGACTTCTCTTCGTTGGCTAGCATCTAAATAATTAGAAGCTTTTGGTTTGTTAAGTGATAAAAAACTACATGAAGACGATGTGAATCATCTTCTTCTTATTTGACGCTGTAACCGCCTAAGCGATTTTCGCCGAGTTCAACAAAGCACGCCAGTCATTTCTCTTCTGGGCCAACTGGCGCCAAGTGAAGCCAAGCCCTTCTCCACTTGGTTTTTCCAACGCAGTGGGGGCCTCCCTCTTTCTCTGCTACCACCAGCGGGTTCAGAGTTGAAAACTTTCCGAGCTGGAGAATCGGAGTCCATTTGAACGACATGGCCAAGCCAGCGGAGCGTCCTTCCTTTTTTTGTCATGGTATTAAGCACCGTATATCGTACAGGACTATACCACATCGCGCCTGTTTAAGGAGTCTTCTATAATTCCTTAAACGAACCCATCAAGGGACATAAACACAACGATTTATCAAATGTCTCTTGTTAGGTTTACAGTTAAGAATACTGAATCAGGGATATCTGGACATAGGTATTAGTAAATATACCTATGTATCAGTCGCAGGACTCTGTCCGTAGCCCAGGTGGAATTTTTTGAAATTAAAAAGTTGCATGGCAACGAAAAGTCTGATATTTTCATAAACTGCGAAGCACAACGGAAACTCTATGGTCTGTAACTTCTCTCCGGTCTTTCGAAAGATAACAGAAGTGGTCTAAGAAGTTTGGAGATTAGGTTAGATTAGGGAAATGGGCTGCCTCCGTATATGGAGGCACACTTGGACTCGACTAAACTGTCCATTGTGATGCCCTTAGAAGGGAGAGGGAAAAAGGGCACAGGGAGACCCGAAAAAAGAGTGGGTGGGTAGGTTGGAGGAGTCTGAAATTATTGCCCAATGGCTTATGTCAAAGGTAAAAAGGCACCCCATGAGATGGGAACTCACACTCGTGGAATTTCTTAACGATTGCTTAATGTTAGATTTTTCCTGTGTTCATTGCACAACACTGCATTTTAAGAAACTATGTATATTGGTAAGAAGTAACCTTCTGAAAACACGGACTGTAGCCTTTGCCGGCTGGTGAAGCAAACCCTAGAGAAAATGTCTCATGATTGCTTATAAGTACCTATCGTCTTCCTGCAGAATTTGGACTACCATAAAAAAATTGCTCAACTTCATAAGTAGGTGTTGGTAGATGATAAGAAAATCAATAGCACAAGCCCGCAAGACGGCGTTGAGGTAATCAGTGTGCATTTAAGAGCACACTCATCAATCGTTTTACGTGTGCCCGAGGGACCGCATAAGAAATTGAAGTTAAGCCTTTCCGTAGTTATGTATGTATGTATGTAGGTACATCCGTTTTGTACAATATTTCAACAATATTGTTTATAGTAATTTTCAAAGTATAAGAGCAACTAAACGCTGCTAACTACTTGAGTAAGCAAGCAAATAAAAAAAAAAATGCACACAATATGCAACTGATAACTTCAACCACTCTTCCTTCTTACGTCTTCCATTCTTCTTTTGCATTTTGCTCTCCTCTCCATCACCAGAATGCACGAGTATTTGCGCACTGCGACACACCGTGTACGACAGGCGACGACGACGACGACGAGTGTTATGCCATCTGCACAAACGCACGCAACGCAGCCTTAGGTGAATTATGTATTGCGAGTATTGACATGTGGGCGAGACAAAGTGTTTAAAATCCTTCCAGTTATACTTTAGCACGAATTCGTTGACTACAAAGTGTACGAGTAGATATGAACGTACATAGATACATACATATGTTGGTTGGTTGGTGCAAATGCATATCCATACATATGTATGTATGCTAATGGGTGTGTATGTGGTGCATAAGATGCATTTGAATAAGGGAACATGAAAGTAAATACATTTATGTGAGTACGTACATTTGCCGGATCATAGATGCAGGCATAGATATGTACATACATAAGTACGTACAAATGTATATGTGTGTGTATGTTTGGAAAGGAAAGTTCGTTGTCCTTATGTTATTGCGATTGCTGGTGCATACAGTTGCATCTACATATGCTTGCAATATAGCTTTGTAGGTACTTACCTTTCTCAATGTTTGTAGTATTTGTGCCAGCGAGAGTGCAAGTATTGAGCTTCAAGATTTGACGCAGCCACAATTACGTCCATGCAATTCGTGATGTGTTCTGCTTTCATGCGGCGCGCCAATTCGCGGCGTATCCAATATGTTGTTTGGTTGTTGTTGTTGTTGTTGTGTAGTGGCTTTGCCTCGCTAGTGCCATGTAATTGTACACATTTGTATTACTTGCACAAATCTTAGATTATCAAATTTTGGTATGAATTCGTACATACATACATATGTACGTACATGCTATGTAACGGGTGATTTTTTTGAGGTTAGGATTTTCATGCATTAGTATTTG